GTTGCTTTGAAAAGTTGGTTTTACGACAAAGGTAAAAAATCACGTTCGCTTTGTGAAATTGTTATAACTTTTTTATTAAAAATTAAAAAATATACCTATTTCTCTGTAAAATTAATTTACATTTTTTAGAGTAGGTTGGAAAAAAAATTATAAAATTCATTAATTTTTCTGCTTATGATTTTTATTGAAACGTAACCTTTGTATTTTCATTCCTCTCATCTCATCTCATGCAGCACTGATAAAGTCGTGATTTTTTTAATAAAAAAATCCATAACCATTAACAAACTTACTTCTGGCAAATTAGACATCTGGAAGCAGCGCCAAGTCGGCTGACCGTCCCATGCAGTGACGTCATTGCATTGGCATGGCTGAGACAAATATTCGCATTTTAAAAATCATATAGGTAGTTTGAAAACCGCTCAACGGATTGAGTTGAAATCTTCAGGATCGCCTAATCATGAGCACCCACTTTGTGTATACAAAATAAGAACGTTTTTGAAAATTTACTGAATGACCCATTGGACTAATACTATAGATTTAAATTTTATTTTTATGGTCCCTCATCTCTAGTACTAACAAAATTATTAAATGAATACAGAAAAGTTAAAATAACTCTTAAAGTCGTCTCAAGATATTTACATTTAATAAACCAATTATTTTTTAAGTATTTTTGATTTATTACAATTAAAATTGTCAAATATACTTCGGAAGTAACATACCTCAGGATACAGGATATCTATAAAATGCCTGACATGATGACAGACATTCATTGGACATTAAGTTAATATACACACATTTACCTATATAACAGTTAACATCTACTGAGATTATAATCAAAGATACTAAAATATCCAAAAATACAAACAATAAAGGAAAAGAAGAATATTGAAAATTATAAATTAGATAGCCATAGGCATGCGCATAAAAAGCTAGAGTGTAACAAGTACATTTTTTCTACAAGTCGACCCTTTTTAAATTGTCCACTTTGTCGTTATCGAATTACCTACGAAATGATTTTGAAAGAGCTCACCGAGTTATCTGATGAATTATTTACACAAATATTTTTTCTTGTGGCTATCAGTCTAAGTAAATGGGATTATATTTTGCGTGACAATCATGGACGTCATAGGTGTAAAACAGACGTATTTATTCTAAAGATGTGGATGTCCGATGTATAAATTTTGGTAGCAATTTGCCCCTTCGTTAATGAACAAAGATTTCCAACGGTCTTAAGTAAAACTTTTTTCAAATGATATCATAAGTACATGATATTCAGAAGAAAAAGAATGAAAGATATAGGGTAGAATGAAAGATAAGGGCCTAACATAAAGTATGTAACGAAAGTTTATAAAAATTAACAAAATTTGATGATTGTTTGGTGCTGTATATTAACAAATCAAGTGTAATGTATTTTTAAGAACGGCTTTTTTATGTTATTCTTAGTAGGTACAAAATTTGGGTAATGAGCATTAATGTCACAGACAGCTAGATTTGGCCTGTCCGATACTCTGGCCGCCACCAAAAAATCTGTAGGCTAAAAGCGGTGGTCGCGTGATAAACCACCACCATCCGGAAGTGCAGAATCGCGGACGGGCCGCCAGCGCCGCTAATCGGCGTGGCAACCGGACAAACGTCGCTAATCAACGATTTACCGGATTAACTGTTATGAAATCACACATACGGCGTCCCAGATTTGGCTACGCGCGACCGAAATCTCGGCTACAGACATTAAAGAAACAAAAAATCCTCTGGACAGTAGAGAACGGACGTTCAACTTTCTATATTTTTACAGAATGTTATAGAAATCACATACATCGAGTATTTTTGAGCATTTATAGTTCCAAAATTTAAGCATGACAATCACTGCACCAGGTTCGAGGTAAGGCAAAACAGATACAAACCATTTTTCAAATACAAATGTTCGTCGCGACTCTAATGCATGTAAACCATTACATATAAAAAATCCGCCATTCTTCCAATATGTGCAATTAATAATCGCCGTCCTTTCTCAGTGGAAGCTGCCGGAAAACTTTCTAAAAACGTTTTTTCCATTTGCACGCATTTGACAAGAAAGGAAACACCTAAGTTGGAAACTAACAAATCGAGAATGAGCGCTTGTAAAAATAGAATATCCCAATTTCCATAGAAGGAATACTCAAAATGTTTTATCAGAAAAAACTTGTGGAAATCATGGTTTGATTTATTTATTTATGAAAATAATTTACATCTTCTATTTAGAAATAGTACTATGATACCCTCGAGTGTATTTGGGTGCGCCAAAACCGCAAATATCTACAGGGCATCACGATCGGCGCTGTCAAATGTTAAGGACATTTGACATCAGCAGTGACAATGCTAGACTGCTCCAATTAACAAGAGTGGTAAAAATAATGTACATATCTCCTGGTCCTATATACTAAGACCGAGACTACAACGTACAAATAATAAAATAAAATGGAAAAGTAAATGAAAAATCAAAGAGAAATTGCTTCTCAGTTACAAACAATGAGCATAGAATAAACGTAAATACTTTATCCCACTGTACTTTGGTTAACTAATGTTGGATATTTAACTACGTACTCTCACTCTCAGACATCTGGAACATAAAAGAAAAATAAAATTACTTTCAGAACCGCGTCTGGGCCACCAGCTCCAGACTCGAGACGATCCCCAACCCCCAGCCCCTACGAATACGTGGGCAACGGAATAAACATTAGTTTTTTTGCACATGCCTGCGTCATACCTTCAGAACTCACTCACTCCCTCGACGGTACCAGGTTTTCGGCAGACACGGTGGCGTCGAACGGGGGTCAAAGGTCAACCTTGGACCTTAATACCACCGATTTCTCTTATTATTTAGTTTTAGACAAATCTAAATACAATTCTGACGAACGGATTTTCGCAAAGTATCGATTTTTAAATTTGAGAAATATATTGCAATTTTCTCATGGATTTTTCGTTTCATTTCAAGTTTCGCGTTTTGAGGAAGTTCTACCATAAATATATGGTTCGGAGATCAAAGAATTTGGTTCCTCCAAAACAAAATATTTCTGTATTATTCTGTGGTAATAGTAAAGTAGGACCAATTTTATTTTAACTGGAATATATAGATAAATGAACGTGTCATGTTATATCAAAATTGATGCCGATGTTGTAAATATGCATTCTGGTATACAACTAATGCAAGTTTATACTTTATTTATAGTGCCGGTTATATTATGCCATGAAACTTATATTACGCAATGTTGTAACTATTTTAATTTAGACACAAGCCATATAATGTCATCAATATAAATATGTATAAACAACTTTTCTATCAAGGTGTTTAAAATAGGAGAAAACATTCTAGTCGAGCAAGTCGTAATTATTTTTTCAATATGATTCTTGAAACATCCGTTTTAAACAGACTGTGGAGCGATTCCAAATCGAGGGAGAGGAAGATGAGATTAATTTCGCCGATATCTTTCGCTGATACATAAAGTGGGCGATTCTTTATGAAATTCTATACTTGCTCGATTCAATTTTACTGCATATATCAGGTTTCTGCAAAATATCCATTTACAGGCATGTGGTTTGCGGAAAGCCTGCTGTTTTTCCAGCAAAGGGAGTAACACGTGCACTGCGCTGTTCTAAATATAAACGGATCTAGTGTAGGATGCAAATCGACTTGATCATGTTGACACCACAAGTTAAAGGTGCATATCCAGACGGACAACAGGTTCACCTATGTAATTTTTTCAAATTTTACCATAAGTAGTTATTTTCACTTTTTTTTTTGTTGTATAGATGTATAGACCTATTATAATTTGATTTAATTTTTTCAAAATAAAAATGTTCAATTTTAGAAATAAAGTTATAATTTCCCAAGTGTATTGTTCACCTTTATTTCCGACATCTTCGAGGTTTCAGGACATCTACTGCTTTTTAAATTAGGCTATGAACACTCGTATGTAACTTGTACGAAAGAATATATACCTGTCATCTCTCTGTATACATAATCAAGCCATATTTTTTTAGTATAATATTTAAATATGATAAATTTAAAATAAGGTTTATGTAAACTAAAAATTTTGCAATAAACAACATTCCTCCACATTCCTGTGCATTTATGAAATTTTAATCGAATTAAATTATGAGACATATTGATTCTGATGACGATGAGGCAACATAATTTGGGGACATGCTTGCGTAAAATCAGTATTTCTTAATTTTTTGACTGTAGTAATGTTAATTATATGGATACAACGCTGCATGGCGTCTTGCACTGTTTTTTTGCCTTTTGGCTTTTACCAACCCCGATTTAGTTAGATAACAAAATTATTATCTATAACATAGATGTTGATGTATAATAAACATAGACCTTATAAACTACAACAAAGCTGTACCTACTTTATCAGGATTTAAGGATTTTGTCTCAACTACTTGAATTTTTAAACCACAACGTTTCATGTTTCCAAAACACAGGTGTAATATAATGACTTCTAAATTGAAGTTGAGGTTCTTTAGTTTTCCCCAAAAAAAGGTAGTAGATATCTTAGTGATAAAAACTGAAGGTTCAACTCTAATCGACTAAACAATCGTAAAAAGTGCAAAATAATGTTTTTAAAGGTTATTTTAGAGTGGAACAGATGTACGGCTTATGGTCGCTGAAAGACAAATCCCACATATACCTAAACCATAAATTGAAAATTGAGTGAGCAATAAGTAGGTAAGTAAACATAATCTCAAACTGTTTCTCCAGCGAGATGACTTTAGCACCTCGTTAAAGTGTCTGTAACGGTGTATGTTAGGTCAAAATATGAACTTTCGTCTTATTTTTCGTTCCATTTTCAACCATGTTCATTCACCGTACTGGCTGGAGTCGAAACACAAAAAGAATCGAACTTAAATCCGCAGATATCAAAAACGTTTCAATCAGATCACGATGGGATTAATTAAATTTGACGGAGTAATCTCTCTGTCAGTATAAAAACTAGAGCGTAGATTTTTATCTGGCCTACCTTCATGTCCTGTATGATATGCTGGAAAAGTCCGCCAAGTGCTCCAGATTCTCGTTCGATAGTGCCTTCCATTACTCAACGATTACAACACACCGGAATAAGTATTATATAAACACGATTCTATTTTAACATTAGAACGGGAACGACATAACTTATGTTTACAGTCACCAAACCTTCCCTGCTGCCATCATAGGAGCTGGGAAAAGGTAAAGGGCCTGTCGGCGACCACTAACGGGACGTGGGGAGAGGAACACCGGGCGTGAGACTTTTGCACGGCTCAGTCTACAATATTTCAGTCATTGATTAACTGGCCGGAGGAAAAACAACACTGCACCTTTAATTCTTCTGCATCGAACATCCGCGGACACCATTACGACGTCGCACCACTGTTTGCTTTCTGGTAATGTGCAGAGATCCCCTCCTTTTTTCCAGTCAAACAATCATTTGCTTTATTGGCGACGCAAGAGTCAACCTGCGGTGAGTAGACGCAACTCGTAGGGAAAGGCAGACCTACGATACATTTGAACTACTATTATAACAGCAGAAAGAAATTAAAATTTTAATTATTTCTTAAGTGTCAAAATGTCAAAAAGTCTAGAGCCTAGACGTAGAAGGAAAATTGTTCTAGAACAAAATAGTCACTTTCATACAGCTGTTACTTATTAATATTATGTTAATTGCATAAATTGCTTCAATATGATTTCTTTATTTTTGAAAGTTTATTTCATTTATTGAACAAATTTTACCACTAAAACTGCTGTTATTTTCCTTGTTCCAAAATTGGGGTTTCCAGTATTACAGTGGATTAAGTTTATTTCCGATGTACAAATAAGCTAATTTCTCAAAACCATTATCTTGCTTTGAAGTTCCAATTTGGTGCAAAGAATATTTTTCGATTATCAGGTATCGATGCTGATGGAGCAACGGAATATTTGATATTTGAAACTTGCATTTTATTATCAATGGAATCTTTAGTGTAGGTTTGCGTCACTGAAGTAGTAACATTTAAATATTAAATTTAAATATAATTGCTAATGAGCTTTATAAGTTTAAAAAAAAATCAGCAATGATTATTGTTTTATAGTAATTCCGTTATATTTCGATTGTTCATAAAACACCATTAATTATCTAACTTGATAGTTCATGTTGGGTAAGGTTTGCAAAAAATACCAAGTTTAATTCTTTTTTTTATTGTATGTACACTAACGCTATCAAGTCATTCATCCGCTTATCCTATGTTGCAACGAGTACTGTCTGATGAGGTTTCTCGCTATGTCTGTGTGCCCTGAAATAACCAAAAAAAAAGTTAAAACGTCCTGGAGAATCCCTATCATTTTTCAATATTACCAAGTTGAAGTTCAATGTAAATTACGAGCATAATAATATGTGCGGGAACTTTACAGGTGGGGCCCCTTTGCTGCCAAATCTGTTTCAGGAGAGTCGCAGCCTGATCTAATTGTCCTCTTATCGTTTTCGCTACTGCAATGTTATACTGCATTACAGCATGAGCACTGCCCAGCGTATTTGGGAACCATTCTAAAAAAATACAAATAATTTTTAAAATGCCATCGATAAAAATATGATTTTAAATCACGTACTAGGAGGAGGACTTGTTTTAATCGTCGATTCTTGAGATTTCTCTCCCTCATAGTCAGGGTAGAAAGACAAATCTTTGATATGTTCTGGGTTCAAATATTCCAGAGCTTCTGATATCTTATCGAGTAACACCAAGGACTCTGCTGCATACAAATGAGCTAGTAACCTTCAGAAATAAATTTGAAATATCCGCAATTAATTAAACCGTAATTCTTTTAACTCACTTATGTACCCCTGACATTTTTGGCTGGTCCAGCAACTCCTTCGAATACTCTAACGACATAATATAGTCTCCCAAACATAAAGCTACATAGGCACTGGCCACCAAAATTCCGTTTCTTAACGTCTGGATCCCTTCGGCGGATAAAGGATTAGACGGCGAAGTACTAGGACTAGGAGGCGGCGCTGGTGGCGTAACACCTGGGATTAGGAAGAGAGGGACGGGTGGTGAGGCAGTGTCGGAAGGGATGAGAAGCGAGGCGTTTCTAAGGCAGAGAGAAGCGAACTCCAGGGATGGTACAGGCACGGCATAGGATAGGCTTTCTGTGCTGAAAAATGTTAAGAGTCAATTGTTACTATAAAGGTCTGTTCAGTTGAAAGTTTAGGTAATGGGACATTTGAACTACTGTTTTTTAAGCAATAAATCGTTAAACATCCACTATTCTTTTTTTTAATTGTTGGCTTCTAGGATTTTATTGAAAACTTTCATGATGAAAAAATTTAAAATGAAATTTGCAAAATAAAAAATTAAAATAGTGGTGGCCAGAACATACAAAATAGGTTGCATATTCAGGTTGTGCAAAAGCAAGGTCCTCGATATCTAAACTTAGATATCAAGGACCTTTTTTATAGCAAATTTAATTTCCTGTATAACTGTCATGTACGTTTTTACTGTAAGTTTAGTCATTTATAAGAAAAATGCGAAAATCAATAAATATTAACTTTAAGATTTTTTTAGTTCAAGTCACGTACATCTTACTATGGGCACTTAAAAAAAACATAGATTCCCCTATAATTATAGCCAATGGATAATAAATTAACGTAAAATGCAGCTGAGATATACAGGGTGTTCCTAAATAAATATCGCAAAGGAAAACTGTAAATTCCTCTTGAAAAAATAAACATTTTATTCCTCTTCCATTTTTCTCTCCGGGCTTTCGTTTTTGAGATACACGGTGTCAAAACTTTAATTTTTTTTTTAGTTTTTTGCCAATATCTTAGGAACCGTTTGAACTACAGGATTGAGCTTTTGTACACAGATTACCACTATTAATAGCTACTTTTTCGCCCCCTTCTCGAATTCATTGGACGTGCCAGTGGTGGAGATTTTAAGATATCGTAAGGGTTTTCCTCCTTTACGCCACTGGAAAAATTTACATTTGACGGTAAATTCTGAAATGCCAGTGAATTTACACAAAAGGAGTTCTCTTGGTTCATTGCTTTAAAGTCAACCGTAATTCAAAAGATAGGTAGTAATAATTAACAATTTTAACAAAAGTTGTTAAATTTCGTCCAATGAATTCGCGAAGGTGGCGAAAAAATAGCTATTAATAGTGGTAATGTGTATACAAAAGCTCAGTACTGTAGTTCAAACGGTTCCTAAGATAGCAAAAGACTAAAAAAAATTAAAGTTTTGACACCATGTATCTCGAAAACGAAAACCCAGAGAGAAAAATGGAAGAGGAAAATGTTTCTTTTTTCAAGAGGAATTTACAGTTTTCCGTTGCAACATTTATTTAGGAACATCCTGTAGATAATTTAAAAAAAAATAAGTTTACGTGTTATTTGAATGGGGAAATTTTAAAATCAAATAGCGAGTACTTAAAATTAAAATTAAGAGCTGTCTGAAATTTGGTGAGAATTTTTTTTTAATGTTTAGAACATTATTTCATCAATGGATCGAAAAAAATGTTTTTTTTTTTTAAACGAAGCACCTAAAGTCCCTTGCTTCATTATCAAAATATTACCACTTTAACCCATTAATGCCTGAAGGGACGTATTTTTTTCCATTTTTTTCCATTTTTCAACAGCTGCAATGACAAAAAAGATCGTAAAAAAATTTTAAAATTACCATATCCAACGTAAGATCATCTGCACTTTCAGAATTTTTGGATGATTTTTGGATTTTTCAGAAAACGGCCAATTTGAAAAGTGTAAAAACGTCTCAAAAAATTGTGAAAAAATTTGAGCATATTTACATAATTTTTTTCCTATAAAATTTTTTTCGGAAACCCCCACCAATTTCAAGAAAAAAATTCCTAAAAATTTTGAGGTTTTTTTCCATTAAGCTGTCATTTTGGTAGCTAAGACCTCAAAAAAATTTTTTCTTGAAGTTTAGGGTCATAACACAATATTTTCATTCCACTTATAAATCCTTATCTTATTTCGATGCAGAAATCCAATTTGAAAAAAAATTTTAAGTGAAAAATTCGGACTTTTTTTTGGAAAAAACCCATATAGTGACTTCCAGCTGCATTTTTCAAGGACTCTGATCACAGATTATGAAAGTTCAGATGATTTTTCGTCAGATATAGTAATTTTTAATTTTTTACAATCTTTTTTTGTCAGTGCAGCCATTAAAAAATGAAAAAAAATACGCCCCTTCAGGTGTTAACGGGTTAATTTTAACCAATAGCAGCAATTCTAAACTTTGTTTTATTATTTCCAATTTTACCTATATTTCTTATCTTTGGATAGATTTGAGGTGAGAACGACTTTCTGTTTCTCTTTAGAACCAACAACGTCTACTATCATCTCTTTTTGTTTCTGCTGTATATCAAAATCAGTCTCATTTCCCTACGAAAAAAATAAAGATGTGTTTTTTCAACAAAATAGATATGAATAAAACATTACCTCTTTGTGCACCATTATGCAGCATTCCGCCAGCCTCATCCACAATCTGGAGTTTCTGTGGTACCGTCTCACGGCTATAATTAAACAATCGAATGCTTGAGTCGGTCTCCCTGAATGCAAGAGAGCTATGCCCAAATTGTACATGAGTTCGTGATATTTCGACCCACCCAAGGTAAAAAGTGGCTTCTCATCTACAATTTACAAATCTCTAGTTAAACAAATTTCTTTTTTAATAATGGAATTATGCGTGTCTACATACTGGTGTCTTTTTTTGAATTATTCTGTGAAATGTTGATGTCTTCCTTTAAAGCAGTTTGAAAATAGTGGCAAGCCATGTTTGGCTTGCCCATTGCTTGGTGTAAGATACCCATGTTGTTGTAAAACATTACTGTCGATGATTCACCACATTCCCTACAATAAAATTAAGAATATGTCAAAATTACTAATTTATTATTTTTTTTAATAATTAAAAAAACATTTACAAAGAGTTAAAAAATAACTTACCCATAAACTAAACACTCATTTGGAATAGAAGTCAATATCCTGACAGATTCCTTAAAATTCCCCTTCAAATATTCAATATTGGCTGACAAAAATAACGCATCGATATTCTAAAAAACAATCACATATTAAGAAAAATCAAATAAAATGCCAATACATTGAAAAATGTTGATACCTATTTTAATTCAAGAATTTTTTTGAACATATGTATATCATAAAAATTAGAAACGCCAGAATAAATTAATATATTTTGCATACATTGTGCACTGTACAAATTTCAAACTTTGCAATTAAAATTTAAGAAAGTTTATGCTGCAAACCAAAAAAATTACATACAATTATTTCCATCGTACCATTGTACTGTTGAAATATTTAGTTATGCTCTATATGCCAAGTTGTATATTGTTCTGTATTATTCAAACTAGAATGACTTGTTAAACACAAACATAAAATTATCTAGGCAAATGTTTTATCTTTTACATCTGACATAAGAAATAGAGTGGTATATAACAAAATATTCTATGCGAATTGTATATATTTACATATCCCGAATAAACAGAACTTGATTAATATAATTTATTAGTTTTTGGCTCCTTTCATAAATAAATAAAATCCAATTAATTAAATTGCTTTTACACTTATCAACAGCACATATGAAATGCCATTAAATCAGTTCTTAATAAACAGCAATGGCAGATAGTCCATTTGCTTCTTACCAATTTCTCAAATCAATATTTACAATAAATACAATATTTGGCCTTATGACATCCTCAGTGGCAAAAACTCACGTCACCACATCCAAGAAAAAAGTGATTTATAACTTGATTTTGTTATTCGTACAAATTGCTCTAGTCACATACTGTTCATTTATAATAGTGAGTGATATGAAAAGTACAATAATTTCAAAAGCAACGAACTTTATTCTACCAGTACTATCAACTTTATACGTCGGCACAGTTTGGATCCTCAGTATTTTCTACCAAAAAAGGCATATCAATTTCATTTCAAAGCTAGTTGAGTACGATACAAGATTTAAGACGACATATGGCAATATGGTGGATTACGAAAAAACAAAAACATTCATTAAACATCGACTTATTTATTACTCACTAGTTTTAACGGTTTTCTTTACCGTTCTTGGTCAACATTTAATAAAAAGCTTAAGCCTCAAAGTTATGCTACAATCGTCATGTTATATTTTACCAGTAACTTTAACCATAGGACTTTCCTTACAATTTACAACGTATGTGGAAATGATCAGATCACGTTTACAATTTTTAAACAAAGATACCATAAATATGAACAGTTTAGCACTAGCTAGCCGGCTGTATTTTTCAGTACGACCTAAGAGGCATGACAAAGGATGGTCCAAAAATATAATAACCGTGTTAAGACAAATGACGACATTACATCACAAACTATGCGGACAAATCGTCTACGTAATGAGAATATATGGAGTTATGTTGTTAGGTATGATTGCAATAAGCTTTACAAGTATTGTGATTGGTGCATACTACTCGTTAAATAGGTACCGAGGCTACAAAGGAGAAATGCACATTACGCAAGTGTTAGCGATATTTTTTGCTACTGAGATTATTTTCATATGTCATGTTTGTGAGAACACAGTTGAAGAGGTGAGAAAATAAAGTACAATTATTATTTTTATAATAAAATGAAAAAACATATATTGCACTGACAGTTGCCGGAGTACTTTTTTTTAGGTAAATAAAACAGGTACGTTGGTACATAAAATTGATGCAGATGAGCCAGAATTGAGAGATGAAATAGAATTATTTTCATTACAAATAGCGAATGAGAAAGCAATATTTGATGTTGCTGGATTTTTTCCAATCAACCACACTTTACTATTTTCTGTGAGTATATAAATTATCTAAATTATAACTAGTATTATAAAGTGTTTATTTATGTTCTACCTGATACATATAATTGTTACAAAATTAAGAAATATGAAATATTTTATATATCCTTAAAATGATGAAAATTTTAATTTTTCTCAAACGTTTTCATGAAAATATTCTTCAATTTTCCCAAATATGCCCTTAAATGCTACGTAAAGAAAGTAATCAATAAAGACTGGTAGGCTGTTCAGGTAGTACGAAGTTTGAGAAAATTCAGAAACATTTTTTTCTTGAGCAAATGTTTGCGACTATTGAGATCCCATTGAGAATGGGCTCTCCTTTACGACACTTATTACAAGTAATGTATTGACATTGCAGATTATTGGAGGAGCTACCACATACGTAATCATACTGGTTCAACTCTCGCACAACTAATTTTAAGAAACAAATGTCACGACTCACCGATTTGTCCTTAAGTAACACTTGGATCTCCTTCATTGCTGTACTTAGAGAATGATTCATTAAATAACACCTTATCTTATATTTCAATAATTTCTTTTCGAATTCCTCAGACAGAGGTTTAGGAGGAGGTAATTGGACCTGTAATCAAATATGTATAATTAAGTTTGTATCTAAAGGTCTTAAAATTGTTTGTACACAAAATTTTATACAAACAATTACCTCACCTTCTTTTCCTTCCCCGTTTTATCCAACCCTTTTAGCGGTATACTACCTCCGTACATCAAATTATTTTCCAAGTAACTTATCAAAGTTAATGCTTTGTCAGGCTGTCTTAAAGACAACTGCAGCTCGATCGCTAAGAGGCTGACTTGCTTTGCTAACGATTCCTCTAAAACATATTAGATTTGTTAAATAACTATAATAAGACATATTTTAAAAGTATGTTACCCATAGGTTCGATAAACTTGTATACCCTGTCCATTATCCTTTGAGCGGCAGTATACTGGCGCTGGTGGTACAGAAGTATAGCTTGGTTGAACTGTGATATGCAATGGTCGATATCATCCAATTTTTCTGGTTTAATCTTAAACTATAGAGGAAACGGTATGCAATAAACCAGTTATTTAACTATATTGTTTTACCTGAGTGCAAAGTGCTGTTAAGCTTTTCTGGAATTGTTCAGTCTTTTTCAGATCGCTCTTGTAGTACTCAACTACTGCTTTATTATGCAGAACCTTCAAGTCGTTAGTTCTGTTGTCTAATTTGCTTATACATTGTAAGCACCCTGTGTAGTTCTTCCTAAAATATGGAAGAAAATTATTAATTATTTCTGTAAATACAGACACATACTTTTTAAATTCAGCAAGAGCGGTCTGTGCCAAGTCCCTTTCTTGGTCTGTAACGATTTCAGGAGACTTTTCTTGTTCTTTGTCAGTCATTTTAGAGGTGTATGCTTATTTAAAGAAAATTTTTTTTTTTTATCAAGTATAAAATATTTTCTAAATAAATTACAAAATTCCACTCAACTCGACTGTTGTTAAATATCTGTCAAATCAAATGTCAAATGTAAAAAATAAAATGTCAAACAAAGTGACAAGTGGCAGAATTATCATTGAGCACCATTGGTTAGAATGAACAGTAATCACAAAACGACATTATTTAGTAACTAGGCAGCAAAACCAATAAAAATGTCTTAATTAGCTTAAAATTTGCCTGTGAAACGGTTATCTCTAAGGTATTATTTTTAAGATCGAATTTTATGTAAGCTTAAATAGAGAAAAATAAAATTGCAGATAACAATGAGAAGTAGTGTTATACTTCATTCTTGTTGATGCAAGTTCATTGATAGTGACACCTATTGGAGAAGATTTTTTTAATAAGACGTACGATTAAAGAATTCATCTTTATAAATTTCTTTTTTGTACAGATGGCGCTACGCTGGTTACAATAGAGATTTCGTGTTAAAAATGAAAATACGCCACTTAAATAATAAATACATCCATAGATGGCAGCAGTAGTGAAATATAGTGATAATTTTGTATTCTATTTTTATGAATGGATCTAATTAAGGAAAATATAAAAGAAATAAGATAATTAGAGGTAAATATAAACAAAATCTTATCGAGTTTCTAATATACAATCCAAGTGCTTTTAGTTTCCAACAATCCGACGCAATCGCATTTGATTCGAAACAATGAATTTTTAACCTTATGTAAGCATTACATCCATATGCGCATGCGTCTGACTGTTGAAAACTGTTTTGGATTCTACTAGGAACAAAGCTTATATTTATTGCGCAAAACAGTTTCAATATGTTCACAGAAACTATACAACGTTGGTCTCTTTTCTAAACAATGTTAGAAGTAGTAAAACACCCTACTCCATAACAAAATAGGCTGAAGTAAAATAACCTAAACGGAGAAAAAAGATTAATTTATGGTAATTGCACATTCCATACAAAATGGTTTTAGTTTATATAAGTACATATTTAACATTTTGGATAGGCATTTTATTTCAGTAAACGATAGATTATAGATTGGTTATCTGCATCAAATAGGTAGTAAGGAGCAAATGTGTTTAAAAAAATACGTTAAATCGATGCATTTGCATGTTTTACACTTATTAATAAGTATTTATTAGGTGTAATGTGTAATATGCATGACTAATACGTATATTGTCATTAAAAAATTATTAAAATTCGAATCTTATTAACAATCCATTACGGCCGTCATTCTGCCACTTATTTATTCGTGGGGCAGAATTCCCTTTACGCAATAAACCCTAGCAAATGCAAATGGGAAGGTGTTAGAAAGAAGGATACGCATTTAAGACGGGCACGTATCTATCAAGATATTGGCGTGAATGTTGAACGTTCGGAATGCGAGGTCTGGTTAGGGTGGTTTACAATTTTCAATTCGCAGCCGAACATCTTCAATATTGCAATATGAAAAGGGCTGGAGCGGGGAATCCCGAGAATTACAACGATGACGGCGTTACCATCTTGCACCTATCTTGCGGCTTCAATTTTCGAACGGGAGCTGGAAAATTTAAATTGCAGAACGGCTCGACTTCTGGATCTCGTGAGAGAGTGGAAGGGGACTGGAGGGTCGGATATCAGTTAATAATTAAATACATTATAAGTAGTTCTGAATTCTGGGACTGGGAACGAATTAATGCATGTACCTACCTTTTAAATATTGATCGTAGAGAAAAATAAGTCACAAGTGCAAATGATAATACACTATACAGTACGTTTCTGAAAGGTCTGGACAAAATTCTACCACATATGCCTAGAGTTAAAATATGATAGTTTCCGACATACAGGATTTGATACAATTTTAGTTTTTCTTCAAGGCCTTCATTATTAATTGTAGTAAATACATAAAACTTGGTATAGAGGAGTTTTCTGGCATTAGAAATTGAAATCTGGTCTCGAACTCGCTTAAATTATTGGAGAGCGCCACCTACAGCACCTTACATGCATTTAAATCGTCATAACTTTTTGTGCCCCGGTGTATTGATTTTTTAATTAAAACTTATCTTTCTCCGACGTTTTTTGTAAAAAAAGGTGTTCCTGCGTAAATGTCGTTTTGAATAACAGTTTTTTATTTGGATATCTGGATTTAAAGGTTTCATTTCATAAACTCGTTATTGTCTTCCGTCCCACTTTATCCAGGCTTTAGGACTGGTCCAAACTAGTTCTAAAATTATGGAGCTTGTTTAGAGGCCAACGAGTTAAAAATAAAAAAAATAAGATCAACGACAGGTCTATGAATCTATGAAAATTTTTTTGTAAAAATTTGATAGCGCTCTTGCGTTAATCGCAAAAAATTATCAGAACAATAAAAAATAGAAATAATGTACCACTGATATTTACTTCGATTGTTATTATCGTCTGAATAAAACACTATTGTTATAAAATTCATGGACATTAAATTTCACCACTTGAAAGTAATTTCTGCTACGCCTTGGTCTTGATAACAGTTACTTTAATGTGTTTTCCTGTGTTATACAATACCATTAAGGCACTTTTCAAGTTATGGAGAAGTTTGTATGATTTTAGATGTCTATAATGCTACTTACTCCATGAGACAAAATTCAAAGTAATTTTGAAGTTCTGGTGACTGTACATCAAAACCGACAAAATAGGTACTTTTTCATCCAATAACGCATTTATAGTCTTGTTCGTATACAAATCCTAACTACAAGTTGGACTATAACCTCAAATTTATAAATCTTAACCTAAAACGAACATACTCAATTTTTTCTAAACGTGTGAAATAAATCCATAAAACTAGCACTTTTGAGTGTGCAACCAATATTTGAGGTTATGTTTTGGGTCTAGATTCATGATTTAGGAATATGTTAAATGTTTAAGATTTGTTTTTGTTTAGCAGCCTTTAGTTCATAATTTTCCTTTTTTTTTTCATTTTTAGATACCGAATATGCCAAATTTCGTATGACGGAGTTTGAAGCTAGAGATTACTCGGCCATTTTGAAAAAAATTCTAGGCATATATTCCAATTATCTCACCGGAACATTATAGTACAGGTAATTTAGGAAAGACTAAAAAAAAATCAGTACTTTTTGATTAGTTTTGACGCGTGGCTCGAATTTTTTCCAATATTTTCCACTGTGCGTCGTTCAGGATATCTTGCACGGGACACTTGACAAGCTCTGTGGACATTTTCGTTTGCTTCGCCATAAAATATTCGCGATTGATAAATAAATGCGCCATTTTGAAAAGAAAACTTGGAAATACGGCTATTACATGTACTCTGAAAAACAGCACAGCAATCACTACAACAATGTATTACAAAGTAACTTTCGAATACAGTCCGGCTTCATAAGAAACCTACAAACTCGTAAAAAGTGTCACAGAATTCTTTGTAAGTACTCGCAGCGATAAAATACATGTATTTCAGCAGTTCCAAAACAATTTTAAACACATTTTTAATTAGCTTTTTTCTCTATGACCTCAAACTTCCGATACAAGTTTGTGACATCAGTTAACTCAGTTTTTGCTCCTCTTTCACCCCTTTACATTTTTGACATAAGTTCATTAACACCCTGTATAGGTTAAGAATCACAAGAACTTAATCAATAACTACACCACAGTACATTATTAGGAGCGGTTTTTGGAGAAAACTGTTACTCTGGTGAATGTCAAAAACTAATTTTTTCCCAAAAATTTTACGTTCTGTAACTCGAAAACCACGCCGCTTAGAACGCATGTCCATGGATACAATTAACTGAAAATTTACCCCTGTTTTTTTTTTTAATATTTTGAGTTACTCAAAAATTGCAAAGCTCTCTTAACTTAACCAGCAAGGGAAGTATTGGACTTACTGCAAACGTCATTTTTGTTTGTTTTGGCTGTTTTGAATTGCGTTCAGCTTTGTTTTCACTTACCAAATTTCTGTTTCATTTGCAAAACCTAACTTCTTAGCTGACGCGAACGTAATGGAACACAATAGTGGGGCTTTCGGAGAGGTGTTCCCACGCATTTGAGAGAAGAAAAGCTTCGATAAAAAATGTAACCACGGGGCGCTGCTTCCTTGTACTCTTGTATTGGAATCGCCAGGAGGAACTTGATATTATTTTCATTCCAGATTCGATATAATAAAGGACCTTCGCTAATAGAGAGGCAAGCAACCCCGATGTTGATGGGTGAACTGTAGTACGTTTCACGGAAACGACAACTACTGACGGCGCTGATACAATAATATACAAAAGATTCAATAAATTGATACAGTACAAAAACAGATTTTTCAGCAGATGGTTCAAATCTAGTAAAAAATAAATAATAATTAGTAATATTATTTGTTTACAGTTGTAAATACACTGGAGAACTGAAAACATGATTAAAAAAAAGAAACACGTTACAAATTTTGGAATTAATTGTGTATTATATTTACAGTTATGTGACAGTTTCAAAATTAAATAATACTGGAGAAACATTGTTAGAGCTATGAGAAACTTTCTGAATAACAGGAAAACCAGTATTACTTTGCTGAATAAATTGTAATGCCGTCTCTACTCTTAAACTAAAAATATCTTCACCACAGTCAGTTGGAATCGTTGCAGCAGTCTTTCAACTACGAATGTAATTCGCAAATAAATGAGTTCAGTGTTAATTCTGAAAATTACGATTTACGGATATGTAATTTTTTTAATCGGTCCATTCAGATGCATATTTTGGGAACCGCTGTCCGAATGAAACGTAATCAAAATCGTTTTTGGGAGGATATGTTTAAAAACAAATGTTTGAGTTGGCTGGTTATTTTCCTAGCACAAATTACTATTAAATTACAGACATAGAAAAGCACGTACTGTTATGTTTTTAATATAGTCAAGATGATACTGAAATCTTGTCTGAACTGTAGTAGCATGTGTCTTTATTTTTATGTATTTTCTGAACATTTATTATTAATACTATTGTATTGCGACGTATTTTGTGTGAACTTATTCATATTTACATTTACATCATTGTTTCTCGTACAAATACTACATTGATGCATTTGTGTTGATTTGCTACTTTC